GATGTAAATGTCACCTGGGATAGATCTGACAGCTATAGATAATAAAAACCAGCACATGTCACATCCAGCAGATTTAATTTTTTATTTAAAAAGTAACTATACAAAATGTGTACCATCACAACAAATAAATAAAATTAATTCATTATGTGAAATTAATGAACTTGATGCTAATTTTCACACTGGTTATAAGTAGTTACTCACACCAATTGACTTTTTGATATTTTGAAGTTGGCATATTATCTGTATAAACCAGCTTTAAACATTTGATGTCCATTTTTCAATAAAAAAGAACGTAGTTCAAATTAAAAATAAAAATTAATTCAACATTCCCTTCCTCTCAAAATTAATTATCTTTCCTTCAACATAAGAATCATGAAAATCCGTCGTAGTTGTTTCAGAATCGTCTGGTAAAACATACCTTTACGTTTTACTATTATAGAATTGTGATTGTGAATAGCAAAAGGCAATTGTCCATAAGATATTGGTGTATTTATTTGTAATAATTTAAAAACATAATAGAAAATAATCAAAACTTTTTCTTGGAACATACAAGCAGATTAAGAAACCAAAGTGACCGTTTGTCATTGTGTTTAAATGTTGAACAAAGATAAAAAAAAACGCATAATATTTAGTATCTTTTGGAGACATTGTCAAGTGTATAGAAAGAAAGTTATGTAAGGGAGATACATACATTTAATTCTTTGTTCTATTGCATGCCTGTACTTCTTCCAAGGTAAGTTTTACTATTCCTTCATTTTACAAATCAAAATCCTGGCCTTTTTTTACAAAGCAAAGACTATAGTAAAGTCACCATTATAATTAACAAAATAATATGGAGAAGGAACGTCAGATAGTAATTATTGAAGATAGCCCCAATGTCATAGTATTTTTTTCAACTTTGTATTTGATAAGCTTACTAGATGTGGTAATTTCAATTTAGTTAAGAGTTCTTGATCTCATACAATAAAACCAATAAAGGTCTAAAATCTTACAACAATGTAAATATAGCGTTTGTCTGAATCTTAAATTGAACATTTTTGTAAATAGTTCAGACTGTTTCAAAGCACTTTTTCATAAATTAGCGTGGCATATAATTTTTATCAAACCACATTATGCTTGTTTCGGATTGCTAATAAGTATTAAACTTTTATTGTACCCTATAAAAGTTATACATACATAAAGGCAAATGTGGATTAGATTGAACAATATAAATTACAAAAACGATTACAATGAGTAAATAATTAGGTCCCTGTCAAATTTAAAGAATAATATGAACAAAACTAATATCTCAGCTCACTTTATACAAGACTTACTATGAGTAAACATTGCAAATACCTCTGCCTGGTTCTGAATAGGTCGGTTCTTCTGATTCTGGACGTTTGCTGAATCTGATACTGAAATTCCCGTTTGACTTTTTTATCAGCATTAAGAGATACAGTTGAACCAAAGTAAAAATTATGAGACAGGCAAAAACACACACAATGATCACGTTGTAAACTGGATGTTTCCCTGCTTCCCGATCCTCAGGTGTTAGTTCTGTATTATCCACAGTTAGTGGAGGAAGTTCCGAAAATTCCACAGCGAGATCTGTTTTAGTTTCATTCACATCCTCTTCAGACCAAGATTCTTGCTCAGGAACATCCATGCAAGTTTTGCTATCACTGGAGAGAAACATTGATTCAGGGCATGAACAGTGTACAAGTTGTGGAGAAATCAGGATGCAGCTGTGGGAACAGTTTTTCTCTTGACAAAGATATCGTTTACTAGGCAAATGTGCATCGGGTGTGTATATCTTCATGGCGGTGATGTTGTTTATGCCCGTACTGAAATATATAACTTCTATGTCCTTAAGGTCATACTCTGAAGACACTGAACCTTTGTAAAAAGTGACGTTTTTGATTCTATTATCAGCAGACCCCCAGATTACTGTTCCATTAACTACGTCCAATGCAAACGAGTTGGTTAGTTCAGGACCTCCGTAAAGCACCTTGAATACTGTGAAGTTGTAGTTGAAACTGACCAGATATTTTTTTGTACTCGCACTGAAAGACCCGATAGCGTAAACAGTTTCGGTACTTTCCTGTTAAAGGGAACATTCATTATTATCGATGATTTCTGTTCGATATATCGATATTTTTGTTTTCCATCCGATATATTGATAGTAACAAATTGAAACATATCAGCTGATAAGTACGATATAGGATACCGTAAATAAATATTGTTCAGTATCAACAAACAATTTAAAAAATATTATATTGAAATGAAACTGTTCTAAACTAACCTAACCAACCAAACTTGCTGTAACATTTCAAAATTCCGTTTGATAGCCTATTCCCCATATGCCTTTTCTGTTATCAAATGGAATTTTGAAACGGTAACTTAGCCTATACAGCAAGTTTGGTTAGTTATGTTAGGTTAGTTTAGAATAGCTTCATATCCTAATCCAATATATAGGCTATTATTTTTGCCTAAACAAGGTTAGTTCTTAATTTGCAATTTAAATGCGTTTGAAGATATTAAAACAGAAGGAATACCAATCGTGAAGTAAAACAAAAATATCGATATATCGAACAGAAATCATCGATAATAATGAATGTTCCCTTTAACAGGAAAGTACCACAGTTTCTCGTTGAATATCGATTGCAAACTGTAGTACTTCTTTGAACATGTATTCCTTTAAAGTTTCATATGATTCATGAGAATGGTTGGAAACACAGAGTAAAGTTCCACTATTGTAAAATATGCGTTGTGCAAATGGTTCTACACTCACATACTTGATACTGGAGATGTGGGAATTTGCTTTGCGAATATCTGACCCGTCAAGATTGGCGTTGTAGATGTAACTGGAAGAATAATAACAAGTCCAGAAAATCCTTTTTCGCACCCAATCCAAAGAAATGTCTCTCACCTCACTACAAACGGGTTCAGTCCATATTGTTGGTGGGTAGTACTTCATGAGGACAGCAATGTAGGATAGTTTGAAAATTTTGTTTCCTGACACATAGTAAATATCATGATTCAAACTGTCATATGCAACGGAGGAAGCGCCTTTACTGAGTGGAAGAACTTGTACGAAGGATTTTTGCTCAATATTGTTATCAGTTGAACGTAAATACTTAAAAAATTCAATACCTTGTTTAGTCGCCAGAAGTAGTTTTATCGGAGTTTGAGTCTTGAGTCTCAACTGATACACTGACATAGCATCTTGACCACCGCAGTAATGGAGGGGATCTTTGTGGCATTCGTCACACCGGGAGTCTCCCAGCGCAGTTGACAGCTCGGCAACATAATCCCCACACAAACACGAAGAGTTGTTTGAATCAATTCCAGCATATATTGTAAGTTGTTTTTCACACAAAGTGGTACACATTTTCCAAGTTAATGGATCCGCCTCACTCTTGAAGCTAAAGGTCGAAGCTGAAGTTGCATCATAGCATCCAACATATTTGATGTCATTTAAAGAAAATACTTTAGGAAAGTTCAGCGAAACTACCAGAAAAACGCATTGTAAGAACATAATGAGAAAAAAAACAAAGTTCAAGCAAAAAATTGTGGACTGTCAAAACATAATGATACAAAACATTTGAACAATAATGGAACGCTAATGGTTTTCATGTGATCTAGAGTATCTCTGGTCAGGAAGTGAGGATAAGAACCTTATCTTCTCTTGATATTGGACTTGGCAAACAATAATATGTAAATTGTTTGTCCCTTCAATATCTAAAAGAATTTTTAACTAATCAAAATCATTTTACTAAAATATCCTGTTTTAAAGAATTAACAAAAGGCTAACTAATTACAAACTTGAACATCTTTTATGTCCCTATAAACGGGTGTAGCATGAAAACTTATTATGAGAAATACTTAACTTTTTGTTGAGTTTATCATATATGTTGTTATATTATTGTTTTATATTGTTAAAGTTTTACTTCGCCAACATTTAATAATACACACAATTATTATTCAATGTTTAGATGTGTCCTATAAAACAAATTTCCACTGCTACCAAGCAATGTTTTACATTTGCACTTTTTTGGTTGCAATAATCTTATACGAATGAGAATCTTGTGCGTAAGGTTTTTTTACTGTACAATAATCAGAAACATTGTGTGTAAATAAACAGATACGTATTTTCGTTGTATATCTAATAATATATCTAAACATTATTATATTATTTTCATCCAACCGAAACATTTACTTTAGCTAGAGTAAGGCCTCACAGCACCAGCTTCACTCACCCCACTCAAAGGACGGCACTGATAAATAACCTGCTAATGTTGCAGGCAGATGGGACTACCTGTGGAGTGTCTGATGGGAGTTATTATACAGGAGATGGTTGAAGCTGAAGTGGCAGGAGTTATGTTTACTAGACACCCTGTATCTAAAGATCCGTCTCAGTTGGTCATAACTGCCAACTATGGACTAGGAGAGGTGAGAATTAGAAGGGGTAACTAAATATAGAAACATTTACTTGCATAAGCAAACTATTCAACAAAGTATATACTCATGCACTATTAAAATTTACAGTGCAACCTTTCTTAATTGACGATTCAATTCATGTTTTACAGGCATTGAATTGTTTACAATATGATAATTTAATACAAGCACCTTTACAATTAACAGGATTTCAGACACATTACAAAGAAATAAACCAAAACATATTAAATTGAGTTGAGGTCAACACTCTAGAAATACATAAGAGCAACATTGAAAAATTAGTGTTGTAGTAAAGGCAAACACGTGTCAATCAACAAAATTGTGATAAACTCAATTTGAATCTGTTTTAACTTTTCAAGAAGATTCAAATAAATAAGTCAATGAGTGGTTTCTTACTGCTATGTTGACCCAACACTGGAGATATTTTCAAAGCACCAGTAGTGCTAACGCATTGAAGTGATTACTAGACAGTAAATTAAAATTGTAAATGCAGTTTGATTTCAATTTGTTCTTTTGAGATATGAAAAACACAATTATGCACAGTTCCGACTAAAATCAAGTTCTAAAGACTAAAGTGTGGGTAAGTTGAGTGAGTCGGTGGCTCAGTCGGTAGCGTCGCGGACTTCGGGCCCAAGGCAGCGATGTCGTGGGTTCGGATCCTGGTCACTGCTGATAACATTTATCAGTACAGTTCACCTTTGTACTGTACCGGCTCACTCCTTGCTTTGCTGTAAATGATCCACGCACGGGAGCTTAGTCCATGTGGACGGGCAAATGCAAGGTTAAAAGAGGCCGCAAACCTCTTTAAAAAAAAAAGAAAAAAAATTTAACCTGTTTATGTTTTGACAGACTGTGGTGTCAGGAAGTGTAGAGCCGGACACTGTCATTGTAAACTGTGAGAACCAATCCCAGCTTCAAGTAGAAATGTCGATAAAGGGGCGGAAGACCAGCAAACTCACTGTTACAGGTATGAAAATTAAAATAAATCCTTCGTCGTTGCAGAAGATTTTTTAATTTCAATCAACATTTTATTGATACAGTAGACCCCCGTACTTAACCGACCTCGTATTAACCGATAATCGGATTATCCGCCTTTGATTGTAAAATTATACAGTTTGTTTTAACCGACCTTGCTTTGAGAGCAGCTCGGTTTAACCGCCGCTTTCTAGGAATATCGGCATTTCCGCTCCCACGCTGGGCGATGTAAACTGAACCATACGCTTATCTCCACAGGATATGACTAACAATAAGTTATTTTGTGTTGATCACAAAAAATATTGCATAGCCTATTGTCAGTTTGTCATCATCGTTCGTAGCTCGAGCACATCTGATCAGATATGTTATCTGTGCGGATCATAAAGTGCGTTACAATTTTGAGAACTGATTATCTTATCGCTGGAGTAAACAAACAACGCAACTTGTAGGGAGGGCAAGGAAGGGGTGTTAACAACTCCAAGGTCAAGATAGTTTTTGTGCCTCGAACCTCCAGTGAGAGGCTATAAATAAACGTCCTGTCTTGTAACAAAATGGTCGCTTGTATCTTTAATGACGACAAAAGGTTCTGTACTGTATTACGATGTATTTGGAAAGCATTAATTAATACACTACAGTAGTAAAGTTATTAAAGTAGGAATTTTATTGACTCTTGCCTAGTATTATAATATATTCACTGAAAGTAGGCATATTTGACTTAACCGTGTTTTGTGTTTATTTGTGACATTTCTATCAATATGAAAAAGGAGATAAGAGTAGTTTATTTTATAAATAATGCAAGTGCAAGTATGACTTCAATATAATGATTATATAATTCTAAATGAATAGCACTTCATTATGTTATGATTTTAGGGATTGCCCGTTTTATCCGACCTTTTGAATTATCCGACCTAGGTCCGGTCCCATTAGGGTCGGTTAAGAGGGGGTCTACTGTAGAATGCCATTTAAAATCAAATGAAAATGATGTAATTGTGAAAAATATTTTTTTTTGTCAATGTATTACTAATAATCAAAATTATCATTGAATCCAACTATACCAGTAAAGTAGTAAGTGAAAGCTATTACGTGTATATTTTGTGACTTATGAAAAATGGTTTCAGAGGAAGGCAGCTGTGTAGAGGAGATTGTGGAGGAAGATGAAAGTGACATGTTATGTCTAAGTGGAGCTGAAGTGATAGCATTGGCACAGCTGGGAGTCAGTCTACAACAGCTGTTTGGCTGGCCTAGAGATGTAGAATGGGCGATCAACAAGGTCAATATGTAGTGAGGTCCTTATAACGATGTAGTTCACTTGGCTTCAGCAAAAATTATCTTTGAAGTGGCAACATTATGATTTAAGATTCAACTTACAAAGAATCTACCCAAATTGTCAACTTTCCTACCGGAGCCATCCACTGTTTATTTCAAATAAGCCTTTCTCATTAAGCTCTGACGCAGACAATTTAATTTCTCATTAATTGCACACCTGACCTGACTGATATAGAATCACAATAATGCCAAGATAGCTCACCCTACAAATGGCTTGGTGGAATAACAGGGTTGCGATAACGGTAACTACTAGACTAAAAACTGGGTCTAACCAGAGTATGCCTGGCTCATATACAAGAATCAAGAATCAAGAATCTTTATTGCCTTTGATCCATACATATACAGACATTGGCACAAAGCATTACAAGCACTGTATTCAATTCAAAACAAGCCAGAATACCAGAATTCTGGTATTGAATTCTTGGTATTGAGGTAATACCAGAATTACCTCGATTCCCTACTCTCCTAGGGGGTTGCTTGTAACTTCACAGCTCCATATTTTTCTTCCCTAACCAACAATTCAGCCCAGAGTGTCTAAAACAATGTGTAAATGACACTGTAACTTGACAATGATAACCTCGGCACTTGTATTCACCGGTCCGGGTCTATACTCTTCCTCTAAAGTTCAATGCACTATTACTTGCTCGTTTTTTTGGGGTTTTTTTTTGTACCTAACAGCTAACTTAGTAGTTGTTATTAAGACAAAACATTTTTTTAGTTTTTATTTGATTTCTTTTGTGTCAACTATTGTTCAAATCAAATCAAATCAAATCATGTTTATTAGCACATAAACGTACAGAGGTTTTGTTGGTTCAGACTTTTTTTTATCGGACAAGATTCTGGTTCTATAGTGTCAGTGAGACAACGAGACAACCTAAGAACCATGAATGTTCTAATATGGTCCTACCTAAAGAAACATCTTATTCAGTAACAGAGCCAAAATTGCCATCTCATTCCATTCTACACTCTGCATTCATTTTCTGCTAAAAATTAACCAACTACAGTCTTTTATAAAAAATGTATATGAGACTTGTGTTTTCAAGCAAGCTATGTACAGGGTGTGATCTACTTACTGCAATGTCGCCCTGTGACCTCTCTACTCTCCTGGTCAGAAGAAGAACTCATTCACGAGCTAGACTCAGCTTTCTTGCCAGGAGATGCTACGACTACTGCCAACACGGGGTCAGTCCTAGACGTTTTTTACTAGTCTTTAGCCAGGGATTGTTTTTTATATGACTTTGTAGGTTAGGCCTACAGGATTTGGCACTATCACTTAGATCAAATCCATTGTTGATTGGCGAGATTTGAACCCAGGACCCTGAAGGACAAAGTCCTGTGCTCTACCACTAGACCAGCTCCCTCTCCTGGCCCTAGACATTAGGAAATAGTGATTTTATGCTATTTGATTTTATTGGGGGACACCAGTAACTATAAAGTGATTTTAGTGTCTTGGTAGTTGGGGAAGCTCTTTAAAAAGTACCATAATACAACATTTAGATTATATACCAGTGAGATTATTTATAACTAATGCATTTGGCATTGTCATAAATACAAGGCTATAGGTTGTTGGTGATCATACGATGGGTCGATTCTAGACTCTGTTATTGAGCTATAATTGCTAGGGTTTATAACACAGTGAAAGAAGGGGAGGCACTTAGATCTTGTTTTGTTGTTGGATCTTCTTTAGCATTTCTTCCACGATCACCCATTCTGATGACATTGTTATTTCTATCTCTGAGATTTGTAAAGAATTCCAATGCGCCTCCACTTATATTAATTCAACAGACAACCAAAATTTGGAAAGAGCTTATCACTTCTCATTTTATTTTGTGTCTTGTGAAGAATGGTGCTTACTTTGAACACTCATATACTTACATGAACACACAGAAGAGATCAAATAAAGCCCACCCCTTTGAAACGAAATATTGTGTATTTGTTGGGTCTTCTGTGTGACTAACAAGTACTTCTTGTTAAGTAAGCTAGCTGTATCCCCCTCTTTTCTAAAATTAAAAATAATTTCATAATGAATGGTTATTAACGCCAGACTCTGGTTGTAGTGAAGTTCTGCCTGGAGCCACTAGTCCTTTAACACAGTCCACGGGGCTACGATGTGCAGACTTCGTAATGATCCGATACTTTGCCGGCGTGCAAGACCGTCTTTGGTACAACAACAATAAAATAGTAGTCTCCCATCATCACGCACTTCTCAGTATGTATACTGTAAGTAGAGGCAGGAATCCTGTATAACTTTATTACATTTTTGAACAACTTGTAGAAAATCCATAACTTATTCTTGAAGAAACTAGGATGTTTGAAATGTATATACTTCAATATTGTTGAGTTATACATCAAAGCATATATGTACTTAGCTTTCTCGGAAATATAATTTAACCTTTGAAATTAGATGCTTTTGAACAATCACTTTAAATTGAGTAGAGGTCATGCGGAACGAGGTGAAGCCTGAGATTTTCGGCGGGATCAGCCTAAAGCGGGGAAATCCATGATGGGGGTAGGAGACGAGCCGATCGTCGCCTCGCATAGTGACACTTCCCCCGCCACACCACTATTCCCCTCCAAGCTTTACCTCGTTCCATACAACCTCTATAACTCTTTCATCGCTTGAAGCAACAGTAGTAGAACATCTAATTGATTTGTAAACATCTTTGAGAGTCGTTATATCCAATGAGCCACCGATATTTTTTATTTTCAGATCTCATTCTTTTTTCCAGTCCAATATTTCTTATTCATTCTTTCCAGCCGTAATTTGCTCTCTTCATTTCTAATTACTCTTCTAATTTTCCGTTAATTTCTTTTCAACTGATCAACTGAAGTGTTTATATATGTCTGTCTTTTGATATTTTAAGTGTTTCTCACTTTCACTTAGAACCTTCTATTGTGATTTGTTGAGAGTCTCATCCATCTTATTTTACTTTTCCTATTCCACAACTTATTTATTTCCCAGCTTGTTCTAGTTTCAGGTGTCTTAAGAAAATTTACAATCAATAATATACATATTGTATTGAGAGCAATTTACTATGTTGTTTGTTATCAGACATTATTAAGAGATGCTGGAGAGGAACTCTCTCTAACTCAGAGGGTGTTGGAAATGGCTGTCTGTGGACATCAGGTCTCAACGCCAGAGATGCTGAAAATAGCTGTGGAGAGGAGAACTCCCCTAACACTATGGCAGAAAATACAAACTGTCATCTTCATTGTCAAGGTAAGTGGATTTACTTTATGTTCTTTAAAACATTAGGCTGAAATGGTTTACTGTTAGTAGTACACGATGGTTTTGGACTACTGTACTAGAGTCCATGTTCAAGTGTTACAAATAAATCTAGTCGTCCATTACAGTTGGGTACATCCGTCTCTACCAATGGAGGAAAACACATAGCACATCCATGGACAAATACACATAACGTAATACTCATTTTACATATTTATGTTACGTGTTCTATAATTTGTGTGTTATTCCCAATTTCAAAAACGATTAAATTGGTTTACCTATTGGTTACCGCAGATTCTTGAGCATATAATCTACAATCTTCAAGAACTTGGGAACCATAAGGTAAACCAATTTAGTTATGTGTCCATGATGCGTATTTCTCAATGGTTCTAGTGGATCTAGCCAACTTAGATGGTGAGCCGTGACTGTGGGGGTGTGATTCCACTAGTTGTTCCTCTGAGGGCGGTGCAAGGGGTTGGCTCAATGGACAACGAGATTTTTGTTCACATTTGAATATGGACTCAATAGTTGGAAACTATTGTAGTAGTGTACTACCAATACAATATTTGTATTTATTTATATAGCAAGATAATTCAAACGATATTAGCTTAAATTTGGTGATCCATAGGCTATTTCACCATGAAATAAAAAAACATTATTACCGTCTCTTATAAGAGGTGTTTTTCTTTTGCAAAAATGAGTGATCAAATTTTTTGGTATCATAAAATTGTCTAGTGAATTTGAAATTGAAACCCCAATGATGAATAACTCCAAAGGGTTTTAAAAAGGATTATGACTTGGCTTACTTGATATAATACCGATGACTCCACCTGGAATTCAGGGCCTTGACCTGTTCCTTCCACCTGCCTCCTCTTGATTTTGCCCAGGAAGGGTCATAGTCCAACTATATAAACTTCCAGTCTTGTTTATCAAATGAGTGTAATTAATTGATACTAGTGGTCGTCCTGTGGTCGAAACTCGACCAAAAATAATTAATGTACAGACTTCTCTATTTTCTCCCCACACTGTAAATAACACATGTGATTTGAATTTCTTCCATTTGTTTTGATTTCTGTTTACATTTTGTTGTTATTTCGTCACCATCATGGCAACCCATATGCTCCATGTTAATTTTTTGAAGTTTTCAAATTAATTTTTTGTGCTTATTTGTTAGCCTATTTTAATTTTTAGAGGCATTCTGCACATCTACAGGAAAATATCTTTCCAACAGTATGCGTAGATTTTCTCTGCGATGCACACGACCTGAGAAAAAAGGTTTTAAAGAAACATGCTTGCCTATTAATATATAGATAGAAGATGGTCGTCCTGTGGTCGAAACTCGACCAAAAATATGTAATGTACTCACTTATCTATTTTCACCCCACACTGTAAATAAAACATGTGATTGGAGTTTCTTCCATTTGTTTTGATTTTCTGTTTATATTTCGTTGTTATTTCGTAACCAGCATAGCAACGCATAAGATCCATGTTAATTTTTTCAAATTTTTAAACTCATTTTTTGTGCTTATCTTTGAGCCTATTTAAATTTATAAAGGGATTCTGCACACCTACAGGAAAATAACTTTCCAACGGTATGCGTAGATTTTCCCTACGATGTACACGAGCTGAGAAAAAAGGTTTTAAAGAAACATGCTTGCCTATTAATATATAGATAGATAGTAGTAGTGATTTATATATGAATCATCGGTTACACTTGATTGAATTGATATTATATTAGTAAACTGTAGAAGAACTATAGGCTAATGGTTTTTTGAAGATACAGAAATGTTTATAAATCTGTCATTTTTATCAATTTGAAACAGGAGTAAAAATTCAAAGACCTATAATAAAGCTACATAATGAATTTATGTTGATTTTTTTACCGTGTGCATTTTCAGACACTTCTTTGTAGCAAAGCAGATGCAAAGAAAGCTGAAAAGATCGGTGAACAATTTAGACTTGATTTTGACAACTTTACCTCTGCCGATGCTCTGTTTTCTTACTTGACTGCAAGCCACGCCAATCCGACCAAGGTAAAGAATAAAAAGAATAAACTACTAATCTAATGAAACGGCCCTCTTTAGTACACAATCAGTCATTATAACTGTAGACTGTAGAGTTTCTGAACTTTTAATTTATTTTTCAGTCAAAGAGGAAAATAATTACAGTTGTAACATTAGCAAGTTGTCTTTTCTTCAGGTCAGGATGGGGGTTACCACAAGGGTGGAGCTGGTGCAACGCTGGTCACAGGGCCCGGGCCCTCAGGGCTACCCGTTTTCTTTTCTTTTTTTTCCCATTGAAGATCACTTTACAGCAGATCATAATTTGAAGATAAAAAATAATATATATATTTTACAAAAAACAAAGTTAAATAATTTAAAATGTATTAATTCTAGATTCTAGGCTAGTTTATATTTAAATACTATAGGTGCGTATGTACTACGTATGTACTTAATACGTATGTACTATACAACAGCAGAACAGCCAGCTCGGGCCCCAGTGGCCGGCTCCACAAACTCCCTCTACCCCTTCCTACTGCCAGGCGCCTAGCCACTTCTACCTCACTCCCCCCATAATAAACAAAGTTTGGTTTTATAATTGAACTGATAATTTCAAGAATGAATCCTTATAGTTATAAGTTAAAATAAAATTTGTAAAGCATTGAAAAATTAACATGTACTATGTACCATAGCTAAGGTGACCAGATGTCCCGTTTTAGGGGGACTGGTCCGTCCCGACAAATCCTCTCGGGACGCTTATTTGTCCCGTTTTATCAACATTTGGTCCCGGTTGCACTTTTATGTATGGAATATTTCAATTAATAATTACAATCTAGGTTATTTGACACAAACTTAAACATTCTTTACTTTTGGAGTTTAAAAATATGAAAGATTGTAATAATTTTGACCTAAGTTTTCTTCCCAATTCGCTCGGTATAATACTGTACTAAAGCATGGATTGGATAGCATCGGCATTGACAGCATCGGTCATTCTCGGCGTTACTCGTGCACATTCGTTTTTCTCCGTGACTACTCGCGCAAGTTCGGCAGCTCAGGCACCCACTCCCAAAAAATGTAGTATTGTTAAGATTCTTGATGAAAATTGTCACTGAATAGAATATGATTTCATTGGTGTAAGCTGTTAAACTCGATTTACGTAAGTTTTTTTCCTACTCCATATTACAAAGTACAATTATAGCAGTTAAGATAGCCAAACTCTTTTACAGGGAAATAAAAAAGACAAAATATTAATAGACATGGAGCTTTTGTGTATTGATATAATAGGTTTAATTGCTGAATTCCTGTAATTTTAAGTCTTATAAAACTCATTGAAGAACTCTTTTCTTCCTTAAAAAAGGCTGCAAAAGTGACATTTACCACTCACGAATTTAATACCTAGATTGCCTTAAAAACACACTAAAATACATGACATTTTCAAAATTTTCACGGGGGTCACATTTGAAATTGGGAATATACTGATTCACGCTCTTAAGTTTACTTTATTTTTATAACCAAATAAGGTAGCTAAATTTCTAAATTCACAAAATTATATTATCTCTATAGGTATCTAAGTATCTAAAACCAATTTAATCAATACAAGCAAAAATGTTTAATTTAGTACAAAAATAATTTGAGAGGGAGAGGAACTAAAACCACTTAATTTCTGTAGCCAGAATTTGGCAGATCAATATTTTTTTCCTACTGGCTCTCCTTTTGGCTTTTACTCACTTGGGGCGGGAGGTGGCCAGATCGCAATCTTTGTGCATCTCCTTCGGAATTTTGTCGTAAGCATTTCGCAGGCCGTGAACTGCCACCCGAGCTGAGCTATGCATCTGACATAGGCAATAACAAGAAATTACCACGGCAATGTTTGACACGTGCTCTGCCAAATCATCTACGGTCTAGTTAAACCTTGTTGGACTTTTTGATTTTATTAAATCCAAAATAGCATTTTGGGGTGTTGTAAAGTTTAACACGAATTCTGTTTTGACACATATTACTGTAACTTCCTTAACACAGCAGTCTCAAGTTAGTTACTTTCAGTCTGAACAAATATCTAGTCTTTACAACATACACAAACTATTGAGGTTATTGTCTGAAACATTGCCAAGTTCAGTTGAGTTTAAAATTATTTTATACACTAGCGTTTATTTGTCTTATGTAGTGGTATCGATACATTTAATTTATTAAAATTAGGTGTACATAAAGAATCACCAGCGTAAAGGGTCCAGAAAAAAATATTCTAACTTTTTCTTTGTGGGAACATAATTTCCTTCTCTGAACATCGGCACCCAATAATTGGCTGGGTCTTTCTTTCTGTATCTTCCAATCCTCGCCTGTAAAATAAAATAGTAGATTTATAGATTGATTGTAAAATTCCATTTAGATTTAACTATGTTTAACTGCTGAGGAAGACTGTAAATACTTTCCACAAGTGATCAAACTAGGCCACATAGCCCAAATGTAGAATAACAGTACTGTATTATTAATTTTATTTAATTAATTATCTACAATATGGTACCTTATATGTATGTATTGTGTCTTATATGTTATGAATATTTTTAGGAACATTATTTTTCACCTCAGTGAGTCCTGTATGAATTGCTCGGGTTAAAGGAATTATGACTTGAGTTTTTTTACCACACGCTTCCTCAGTGTAGAACATTAATTTGCATGAGTCATTATTCCATTGTCCATTATTGAGCTTCACATTAAACCATTAAAAACCTAGTGTTTGTTTACACCAGTTAGATGAAACATATTTATAACTACCTACCTGCTTTGACAAATAACGAAAATCAGTTTGGTAAAACCAACAGTTTATTTTTAAGCCATCTAAACAGAGACACATAGTAGAAAATTCAACGTGAGATTAGTCTGAAGAAAACAAATTTTTATGAATTTGTGCTCATATGTAGTGTTGGGTAGCTCAGTGGTTATAGTGTTTGCCAAACAATTAGAAGGTTGCCAATTCGACCTGGAGCGAAAAGTCAGTAGCTTGTGAAGGTTTAAAACTGAACCCAAATGTCCTTGATCATTGGGCTTTATAATAATACTTTAATAATACTTTCTTTTGAAATAGCGACCATACGAATGTAGGTATTTTAAGCCGAGTATGAATGGAGAGTAGGATGAGTGGCACAATCTTGTAGTCTTGTTAGTGACTAAGGCCAACATGTTCCTTACACATCTGTTAATTAATAGCCTATACAGGCAATGGCAAATAAGGGACCCACAGTTTATAAAGGAATCCGAACCAAATTTTTGCCTTGTAATAAACTAATTAAATAAGGGACCCACAGTTTATAAAGGAATCCGAACCAAATTTTTGCCTTGTAATAAACTAATTAAATAAGGGACCCACAGTTTATAAAGGAATCCGAACCAAATTTTTGCCTTGTAATAAACTAATTGGTCTAATTATTGGGATCTAGTACTGCTGATCGTCGTATAGTGGAATCATTTTAGTGTTGAACCCCAATAAAATTGCAACACGAGCAATTTTTTTTTTTAAATGATAGCTAAGAGTGCCCTTAATAAGCCCACAAAAATCGCCATTAATCGTACCTTGGCAACATGCCCTAAAATTCAAAATGGCCACCAAGATGGCTGCCAAATTATATATTTTGGCATATATCTCGAGAACGGTTAGTTTGATCAAAAACGTTAATTTAGCAAATATGTAGCTCTTTTCATGCCGATCAGTTTTTATATATGCATTTTGTCTGTCAGACGTATGGTATGGCCACAATTTGAAGAGCCGTACTTCATTATAATCTGCCTTTTTCAAAAAAATTCAGAAATTTAATTTTTTGATGACTTAATGTTAGAAAATACAAATTGTACCTCAAAATAATTATTTTAAAGTTGTTTGCCATGTGGTTTCCTACTTATTTTTAGTTTTTACACAGTCGCTTTCTTTCCTTTAGTCTTACAGAGTCGCTGACAGCTTCTTATTTTACTTATCTATTGGTGTAATATTACAACAAATTACAACTTGCTATTCAGAAGTGACAAACGACTTTCAGATCATGTTTATACCATTAAAAAAATTAGATCCTCACTTCGAGAAGATTTAGTTAAATCTCTATTAGCTCTGCACGCCTATACAGGGTGCGACACTACTTCGAGGATTTTTCACATCGGAAAACTATCTGTATTCAACAGAACATTAGAAGACGAGTATTTTCAGGGTCTGATGTCATCTTTCAGCTCACAAAATCTGAGTCCAGATCAAGTTGAAGAAATTGGTCTGAAACTAATGGTTAGTCTGTTCAATGGGAATAAGAACGAATCAATGAACACATGTAGGTACAAAAGTATTTTGTCAAAATTAAAAAAAGCTAAAAGCTTTGAAAAGCCTCAGCAACTTCCTTCAACAGAGTCAGCAGTAAAGTTTCACAGTCTGCGTGCCTATTTACAAATTCAAATATGGAAAAGGGCAGAAGATAGTATGATAACTACAGACTGATGATGGACTTTGCAGGACAACATGTATGTGCCCCAAACGATGGATTTGCCAGCAGCACCAGAGACATTGTTAAAAATGATTATATGCAATTGCAAGACTGCTTGTATTTCAATGAGATGTGTGTGTAAAAAAATGGATTTAACTGCACTATTTCCTGTGGTCATTGTTTAGAAAACAATAGTGAAAACAGTTTCCAGTTTTCATTGGACAAAGAAAAGACGATGAGATTAGTATTTTTGAAAATGTTGACTTAACTTTTAAATCATTTGGCAAAATTATGTTAACACAATGGTAAAACTACGTTTATATGTTCATGTTATACATATTGTATGTAGGGATCTTTTTTTGGTAGTATTGAATAAAATTGTATGATTTAAATAACATATATTTTTTTATTACATATCCATATCCTGGCTTCTTACTTATCCCTTAAAATGGGAGATTATTTAAATCATGCAAAAGAATTGTTCATAATCATAAAATCCCAAGTAAAACTGAAAATAAGTAGGAAACCACATAGCAAACAACTTTTAAATTATTTTGACGTACAATTTGTATTTTCTAACATTAAGTCATAAAAAAATGAAAATTTTGAATTTTTTTGAAAAAGGCAGATTATAACGAAGTACGGCTCTTCAAATTGCGGCCATACCATACGTCTGACAGACAAAATGCATATATAAAAACTGATTGGCATTAAAAGAGCTACATATTTGCTAAAATAACGTTTTTGATCAAACTAACCGTTTTCGAGATATATGCCAAAATGTATATTTTGGCATCCCTCTTGGCGGCCATTTTGAATTTTTGGGCTTGTTGCCAAGGTACGATTGATGGCGATTTTTGAGGGGTTATTAAAGACACTCATAGCTATCATTACCAAAAAAATTGCTTGTGTTGCAATTTTGTTGGGGTTAGGTCAAATTTTCTCATAAAATGATTCCACTAGTAGTACTCACTAGTGCGGACGTTAATCCATACCATGAAGTATCGCAACCACAATGCATGCCTATAAATATCCACAATTTGTTGACTCCTAGTAGCTAGACTACAGGACGATGCCACCGTCCAGTCAGAATCTATTTAATGTACCTACATTGTACTCCTCAGCATCAGAAGACATGGAGAGCCAATGGCAGCTCAGGTATCTCTGCGAAGGGCTGTGCAGCAAACCTACTTGCCGCCAGTACTTAGTGCGAGGTGTAACCTGATCGGGGGATTGATACGCAATGTGACGGAAGTACAGGGTGTTCCAGTCGTAAATAGTGTCATATTCCGAGGGGAGAGTGAGATATTTGGCGTAGCGTGGCATTGGCACATCAAACAGCTCTCGGATCGCTGTCATTATTGTCTGAAATACAACAATGAGTTTTTATTGTTGTATGAGTTTTATTTTAAAGAATTGGTAGATTGGATACACCATTTTTAATTGTTGTTCTTTTTTTAATAGAGAGGATAAAAAAAATCTGTAAGCAGATGTCTTAGGGGGTCCAGACCATAAAGGTTTGTAAGGCTACCTTCCCACCTCCCTTAAAACTACTAAAACCAACCACTCTTTTTCTTGCTCTTTCTCTGACCATGGGATTGTCTCTCTTGGTATTACTTCATGGTCAAAGGTTTTGTCTTAAAGCAAATGTAGAAATATTAGGACCATTTCTGTTTCAGTTTTAGAATGACAATGAACTTAGTTAAGCCACTAAGAGTCTGTTGATGTTCATTTCTGATTTCTTTCAACTATTCAACTTTTTGTTTGTTTGTTGTTGCTTTGTCCCAAATCATGGTTAATTATCAGGTGCCCAGTAATAGTTTACACTTTACAGACTTGCAGCCCCAAAAGTATGTCAGCAACATAAACGGAAACAATTTGCTGTTCTTATACAGTAATTGGATTTCTATTCTATGAGTAAAAGTCAAATATAATTTAGATTTGCATTAGTTTCATCTCAAATTAAAGTAGATTCAAACATAGCATAAATGAAACTAAAGTTTTCTCAAATACCCTGGTTTTACCTTTACATGATCAAACCGATGTACACTCATTTGCACTAGGCGACTTGGATCAAGCAGAATCAGTTGACGACCAAGAACAAAATTGTTTCGGAAACATATCTGCAAAACATTTCAAATGTTTTCATAGGTAATTTATAGCAGTGTTGGAAATATATTAATAGTCTTTGAGTGAATGTAAAAAGGTACTGTAGGAGTTAAAAACGATTTCAGCAAAAAAGATATTGGTTATAGGAAGTAAAAAAAAAAAAATCAAGGCATTGTGCTCAAGATTATTTTTAACGGGTTCGGCAGAATCTTTTGACTTGAGTAGGCTACATCTATGGGCCTTCGGCCTTGTTACAAGAACTTTACATCCAATCATGTGGGGAAATGGTTCAAATACTTTGTGTACTGCCTAGCTAATAGCTATTAGTTTTAATTCTTGTGTTTATGTTTACCTAATCTTCATGGCCCTTCAAATGAAGCAACGAAACATCTAGAAGGTCCTGAAGTTTGATCACTAACCAATTAAGTTCTGATAGCTTATTCTTCAAACTGGCCGCATCGCATCAAGGGGACGAGCGAAAAGATCAGATAAACCCCCGAGAACAGGGAGTTTAGGGTTTTGAAAGGAAGGGGTGGTGTTTTAGGTGCCAAAACCCCTTGCACTGAACATACCCTCCAAGTAATTCCAGGGTAGGCAAAATAGGTTTTGTTAGTACCCTCAATGGTGTAAGTCATATCAAACCGTAAATATAGCCTACGATTTGTTGGTACCTACTTGATCTTCTTCAAGGGTTAGATATTGGAGGTCAGCTAACGGAAGATTAGATAATTTTACAAGAATATTAGTGTATTTACTCTGTACTGAGGTAGCTTGACAGTGTCTTCCACCCAGAGTTCCACTTGGTCTGTTGTCCAGTTTAGACATTCCGGCAGAGGCTGACTGTCCACTACTGCAGCTGCCAGCTCAGCCAAGGACTTTGCATTGTTGAGTAAAGCCTCCCTTGGTTTCTCCCAGTTTCTTGGCACTCCTCTCCTGGAAAAAACCCAAAGTTATCAAACTGTTATGATAATACTTGGTAAAAATGGTTTTAGTATAGGTTTTCAGGCTTTTGTAAGGGGTGTCTAAAAAAATTAGGCTTACCTCAATGCCGAAAAAAAGTTGAAAGTGCAAATGGCAATAAGAATTTTAATTTTTGGAACTACCATCTCCCTTTTTAGGTTTTATTTTATTTCACTTTTATTTGTGTTACCAATTGCCTGTGGTATTTTGAACAATTTTAAAATACAGAAGACAATTTAGTGCCGTACTCAGTTGCGCAGACAGTGTAATCGTAAATTAACAGCCAACAACGAGAACAAAGAATCGATAACTACAAAAATTTGATGTGTCAAATTTCCATTTTGTTCTTACAACTTTTTGTCAATGAGGTAAGCCTACTGTTCAACATGTTCATTACAAATCCTTATCAGAATGTTATTTACTCTGTGTCTGAACCAGAGACTTTTTATAAAAGTGTGGTCTCAACCCTTTGGCTTTTAAAAGATTAAGATCTGCAGGCTTAAGAATGAAATAATCATTAAAAGTCTGAAGAATATATACTGGGTTCCAATTGAATGCTCAGAACTGAACTTTATGGGAAAATGTAATAGTTTATTTTGTGTGTTGTGCAGTGTTTGTTTGTGTACCACAAGAAGGGTTTTGCTTTCTCTGTGTTAGTTGTTTTTTGTGTTCATCAGTCGCAGTTTTTGAGTAGTTTTGAACATAATTGGGTTTTCAATTAGTTGATTATCACATTTAAAGGCAACATACTCTGTAAGGGATAGTTGTCACAACCACTCCTATCCTCTATCAGGGTTCCAATGTAATATGATTGTGACAGTAAGTCTACCTTATGATTACTCCTTAAAGTAATATTCCATCACATTATTGGTTACTAAGAGACAGTTACTATATATTCTTTTTTCTCTCTAATTTACTTTTTATCAGGTTTGACTGAATTTCGTGTAGTGTAGATATTTATCAAGAGATTCAGGTAGTATTCTATTTAGTTGTTGTTGTTGAACTGAAAAGCGATTAATGTTTTTAGACATTACTCTTAGACTACGCACTAAACCCTTACAAGCTGACAACAGAATACTGAAGTAGCGGCGGCAAAACTTTAAATTTGAACTCACTGTTCTTACACTTTCTGTACATAATTTGACTTGAAATAAAATTTTGAAGAAATTAAATTCTGGTAATATTGATTCAAGGATGCAGTAACTATGGTTATTTTCATAAATGTATTAATTGCATCATTTCATCATCATTGCATCATATCAAAATTACACCCAATTCCGAGTAAAACCCATACCTCATCTGCCAATCGCTAATTTATTACAGAATAATATCCTATCTATGTGCAGTAACTTATTGATTACTGGGCATTTTTTTCTAAAAAGATCTAATGGTTTAGGTTACTAAGAGGAAATATGCTCTGTAACTTCCTACAAAAAAAAGTAGCTAAGAACCTTCCTAAAGAAACTTAACTATTACATCACAGAGAAAAAAAATACTTTTTATGTTCCAGGTGTTTCTTTTACACACTAGAATGTCGATGGCCTCAACAGTTTGGCAAACTATTCTTCTTTCAATTCTCTCAGAGGGGAAAACGGGTAATTTTCTTCTTTCCTTAGTTGAAAATAAACATAAAAATTAGGTACTGTAGTTTATTTTGTTAGGGGTTTTAGGAGTTATATTTTTTTATGTCATCAGATTGTAGTTGGTTAGTTTAACCTTCAGTATCCAATAGTCAATGGTCAAACTGTGTTGGGAATTGAATTTAAAAGAAACCATCAACTCTATTTTTGGAACTTGTTATTATTTTACCTATGTTTTGAACAATCAAAAAAACTAACGCTGAAATAAAATTAATTCAACCACTCAACAATAGTTCATAAACAATTTAAGATCAGCAAAATAAATGTATACAGATTTAGACAATATTTTGTAATTATTGTTGATCATTAATACTAATATTGTACGATTTCTTTCTGATTTCTGATATTGTTATACATCAGATTAGATTTTCCCTTCGAAGGGTTATTGATTCAAAATGTGTTTGAAAGGGATTTGTATCTTATTCAAATCATTAGAAACATTTATAAAACTGTCTATCCAATGTATAAAGATACAAGAGATTATTTATATAGCACGTAGTGTATTTCTCTAGAAGCAAAATCAATATTGTTTAATGTTCAAATTTGAAAGTATTAAAAAAAATCAATACATTGTTAAAATATAAAAACAAATATTTTGTTCCTGATATTTGGGCCATTTATAAATGTTAAATCTAATGCTAATATCTATGAAACGAAACAGATTTGTCAGAGGAACATCTGCAAGATATTGCTCTCCTATTGGTGGACAAACAGAAGGCTATATCTGCTCAAGTTCCAGTTGATATGAAGGTTAGTTTATAACATATGGGTGAGGTTTTCTGGACGATTCTGCAAGAGTCAGTAGTTTTTGATGGTTTGAAACCAGACCCTGCTGACCTTGATCATTGGGATTTAAATTCATCATCCGGTCTAAATAAAGATATTTGATCATCAGTAACAAAGTTAGACAGATCATCTCACTCCATTCTTCCCTCATTGTGTGATCATACTGTATTCCGCTTAAAAGACAAACCTGATAGTGTCACTGTCTCTAAGAATTGAAATAAATGTAATAGGTAATTGTCTAAAAACAATTGGAGAACATTTTTGTATAGAAAACCAATTAATTGTTTTAACGTTTAAAGCATTGACATTGAGGGCAATGCTTGCATATTGCTGAGCCCCTTTGGCTTTGGTATGTAAGAGATTGAATTGATCTCTCATATGTTTAAAAGATTTTCAGGGGTTTCGACTGTTGATTCTTTCATACACAATGCCACCTATGGCTTGGACACAGCTGTAAACTGCACAATAAAACTGTGATTGTAGCATAAGACAAGAGAAATCGGGAACCTAAGTAAATACAGCAATAACCAATGACATGCACTATGCACCAATAGCATTCTACAATTACTACTCCGTTTAAAAAATTTAGTTAGGTGGTTTTAGGGCAAGAAATCCATCCCCTTTACTTGATCCTACCTTAAAACATTAGCTCAACAGCTAATGTCACAACAACTAAATGTCAATCAACTGCACCCTGCTCAGAGGCTCAGAGCAAACAATGTGGGGAAACTTCCCCTTAAACACCTAAATTTTGTGAACAGAATATAGCAAATAACAGCTGCTCTTATGATTTTCAACATGGTTTAATTTAAGCGTTGATGTATCTTGTATCTACGATCCAAATTTTTTGAACTTAAATATATATAGTTTTTCATAGATATTATTATCTGTTTTAGAAACTTTGCAAAGTTATTAAACAGAGTGAGAAGTGGCGGGAACTAACAAATCTCCCTCCTAAGAAAATGGCTGTGTGGATGCAGATCAACTGTCCAGAGGCATTTAGTCTTTTGGAAGACATTACAAGACGCTATGCACATCGTAATGTTAAAGAGGTATGTCACTTGGTGGAATCATGTTTGATAGTTATAACTTATAATGTGTGAAATTGGTAATTAGGAACATTGTTAATTCAACAATTTGCTAATTTCAAATGCAAAAATGCTAATTTCAAACAAGTGTATGAAATGTATTGTGTCGGAAGGGTTCAAGAAAGTCACTTAAGTTAACAGAAACTGATTTACCTGCTTCCCAATCATTGTTTTTGTTGGGGACACACATTGTAAGTATTGGCAAAAAGGAGCAAAATACTTACTTGATTTTATGAGCAAACCGCAGATATAATGTACTTGAGATGAGCTGTTCACTATTTTTTGGCTTCTGCCACTAAACCTCTTTCAATGAGAGGTAAAATCCTTTTCAGTTGCTTTTTCAGCCATTTTTGGTGAGTTTTACTGGAATAGATCACTGTAAAGTGAAGTTTTACACTTTGTGTTTACCTTGTGTTCAATATATGGACCTTAGAAGATAAAATGGCTTCGTAACTATTTATGGAGGTTGGTAACGGTTTACAGCTGGATCTAATGACTACAACGTGGGGATTGGACAACACACCGCTACTGTCTATGATACAGACTTTACTGAGGAGTGAACACTCGATTCTGGAGAAAGAAACAATCCCTGAGGTTGACACTGATGTCGTAGACAAACTGAGATCCCCTAGGAAGTCGACAACCAGGTAAACTATATTTAATTTAGTTTGTGAGGCCTTATGTTTTGGAAAGTATAATTTTACCATCCAATTCACTTTAAATCCAATTGAGATACAACTTATCTCTGTTTCAGATGGCTTATTTGCTGGCTTGCAGGTTTGGCCAGTAGTGCTGCAGCGAGAAGGGAAATGTCCAAAGACGCAAGCTTGCGAGTAGTCCATCAGCTGAGGCTAGGCTACATGCGGTTGGCAACACTGATGGCCCAGGAAGGTCGCCTACCAACCCCTCAGCTCGTGTGGTATTGTACTCACTACGAACTTGGCACACTGCTTGGTCCGTCTAATCCTGCACTGCTGCATAAGTGAGTAAATAGGCCAACTGCAAAAGTTAGGGTAGAGTTGATAAGTAACAAAATGGAGAAGGTGTGATTGACTATGCAGGGCTGTGTCAGACATTTTGTTTTTGTTTTTTGTATACCCTGTTGTGTGCTTCATGTAGACGGTTAACTTTATTAATGGTTTGCCAAGTTCCTGCCACCCAAGAATCCTTGCCACCTGTCGATCATCAAGATCAATAATTTTTAGGGTAGAGTTAGACCACAAGCACTTATAAGTTGAACAATAGGCTATTAGTTGAATCAAGTATGAGTTAAATAAAGTAAATTTGACCAAAAAAAATACAATTTCAAATAAGAGTTCAGCTCAAAATGTTCAAACACAGAATGCTGCCCCCTTGAAAACCTACTCCACAACAAGAAAATGAATATGTACTGCCTGGGACCCTACCCTCACGCAAAGATAACGGAAAGTAGTATTTTAACTTATTTGAACAAAAGCCAGCCTCTCAGGTTACTACATCAGTGATCAATTAAATTTCATGTTTGTATCCCCTGAGCTGTTGGACATAATGTAAGACCAAATTACCTATGTAATCCCTAGCTGTGACGAGATTATGTAAGTAATTTAATTTAGTCTTACATCATAATGATACATCAGTGCTCAGTAAGTGGATTCTACAGGAGCATCATTCCATTATACCTTCTAAACTAAAACCAAACTAAACTAAACCAATTGCCTTAACGCAGAGAAGTAAGGTACAAAGGAAACTTGTTTATGGAATCTACCGTACACTTTCGGATCTAGTGTGTTGTGCCAGAAATGTACTAGTGACGAGCAAGAAAGAGCCTGAGCTGCAAAAACTGTGTGGAAATTCCTATTGCACAGGGCACAGGGTCTTCCTACGGCGTGAGCGTTGTAGTCCATGGAAAAGTGAGGACAAGGGGGTGGTGTTGGACTTTGCCACAGACACCAGAGACTATGCTGGACACCTCTTAAGTGTACGGTTGAGTGTTTCCTCTGTACCTTCCTTCTCTGAGGTTATAAGGTGTTTTGAACAGCAGGTAATTTTTCATAGACGAATTGGCAGAGTGAATTTACTGGTTATATTCTATGCTTTAGATTTAACTCTGGCAAGTACTAAATAAAAACATTTTTTTCTTTTTTAGAATCAGCCGCAGACAACGCAGTTGGCAGCAATGGGATGAGTTGCAGTTCCCAGAGGTAATGGTTGGTACACCTGAACCAATACAGCTGGGATCCCATCCCACCATTACCTCCAGGGAATGGGTTCAAGGTAGTTGATTTTATTTTTCAAAAAAATACATTACACAGGTAGTTTTCTCAAATTATTAAACTGTAATGTTTTAACTATTTCATAATTGAATAGAAACAATCATTATTTTAACCAATGTTTAGCAGTAAACGGGATGAACTTAATTATTATTAGGGTTGTCCGTAGATTATGTTCTTTAACAAGCCAGTCCCAACCAAGCAAGTTGGATTATATGAATGAATCTATCATATACTTAATACAGTAAGGGTTTTCCCTGTATCCCTTTTCCAGCTGTCCTACTAAGCATATTTTTACGATATGTGTGTCATTTTAAAGCTTATTATCTAGTGGAGTGACAAATTAATGGTAACAAACAAGGTAATTTATTTTTCTTTAGGGATTTCCCCCCTCACATTTAATTTATTTCTAAACTTCACTATCTACGATCCATTTGATGCCAATAAACTTTCTTTAGAAGGCTTAAATGTAAGTTGTAACTTAGCAGCTGATTCAATCCAGTTGAACGTTTAATCACAGTCAGATTGTAAACTAGAGACGAAAGAGTTTGAGTTTATGAAAATGCATTCTTAATAATATATCGTTTTATAATTGTAACCTGATTGAGGTGTGTATATCACTCTTGCAGATCTGAAATGAACAAATTTTATTCGTTATAAATTATTACTTTTGTTCACCTAATAATTGTCTTACACAAATATAATCTTTGAAAGGTAAAAGGGTATTGCATTGGATTCGTCTTGTATCAGAAACAAGTTTGAAACCTTATTAAAATATGTAATTTTGCGTACAGGCCCGCTCCTAAAATTTAATCACAGAAGATTCATATTCGGCAGTGGCGTTAATTTTTTCTTACAACGTTATTGGCCACTACGACGAGAGATGAATCAGCATAGTGTTGGGAACCAAACTATAATAGTACAGGATAAAGTGACACAAATTTGCAGGTGTTCCATTTGAATTGGCTGCAGTGGGAGAACGTAAGAGAAATTGAATTACAGACAACCCTTGTTTTTTTACATTTTAAAGCCTTTTTGTGCCCGGTCTCTGAAAGAGTTAGGATGCAGTATGACCTTTCAATCTATTACCAAAGGTCTTTAATTAGTGCTGAACAACAAAATTTTTGGCTAGACCATCACGTTGGCCCTAAGCACATGAGCTGCTGTACCTTAACATGATAATTAATTTTTTGTTGTAGGTACTCTGGTGTGCACAGGCAGTGTGCAGGGCCGTGTCTGTGTGCTTCTCTCCTGTACAGATACACAGTCACTCCAGGCTGGAGACATCCTCATTACACACAGCACTGATGTAGGATGGACTCCTCTGTTCCCTCTGCTATCTGGCGTTGTCACAGAACTGGGCGGTCTTATATCTCATGGTAGGTCTTGAAACTGTAATGTTGTATCAATGTCCCTAACTTTGCCTGTTAAAAACATTATTTCATTTCATCTTCACGTTCTTGGACACAAGGTTCTAGGTTGAAACCGTCATACACATTAGTTCAAGTTCCTGGAGGGGTGTGGCATCATCATTCAGATAAAAGTCATTGGTGGCTGGCAGGATTTGAATCATGGACCTTGGAACCTGAAGTCCCACACTCGACCACTAGATCACCCAGATCCTTGCAACTCTTCTAATACAACCTTTGCTTGTATTTTAGTTTTTTATACTGTCCGCTTTAGGACTAACTAACTCTATTCAGATTACTAAAGGCTCAATTTTACAAACTACAAGCTACTAGGTGGCTTGATTGTCCTTTAAACAATAAACACAATAAACGGTTGACATACAATAAATAATACACAAAACAATTAACATTTTACGATGCAATTGGGTTTGTCTAGATGATTCACATGATCTATCTAGTTTTTTTTACTATCTTATCACTGAATCAAAAACATTTGTGGTTATTTTTAACAGGAGCAGTCGTAGCAAGAGAATATGGTCTTCCTTGCATTGTTGGTGCCACAAACGCTACACTTGTGTTCAAAACAGGTAACATATCATCTGTCTGAACGCACTCTATTGAGACAAATACTTATACACATAATCCATTAAATAACTTAATCAGTTTGATCAATAATCATGCAATCTTAGAGGTTCTCTATGTTCAGAAGATAGCATTGTAGATCAAGGTGTCAAATTCCATTTTAATTTTTGCAGTTCTTTTTGGAGTGACAAACATAACCATAAACTGGTTGATGCAAGCTTGTTGTAAATGACTTCAACAATGTTACCATGTATATGAAAAAAAGGTGAACAAAAATTCCACAAAAACACTATTCATGGACAGGCTTCCATGGTGGTGGTATTGGTCAATAATGATACCATATGTCATGAATATAGGAGTGTAATATTAATTATTTTGTTGTGAAACTGTCTGTGACTGAAGTTAAACCTCCAATGAAACACCTTAAACTCTGGATGCCTTAAAGTTAGATTTTTAATTTTCAGGTGACAAAGTATTCATGGATGGAAAGAGTGGAAGAATTCACAAGGTGTTTGAGACTTCATGAAAGGTAAATCCTGCTGTGGTTCCTTCTTTTCTATTGTACTTGTTCTATTTTAAATTGTATTTTGTGTATATTTTTACCTAGTGTTTCATTACGCACCTGCCATTAGTAGATTTTAAACCTGGCCAGCCTGTTTTAACTTCTTTAATAAATTATCTTTGTTATTTTGTCTGTAAAATATTTATTTATATTTTAATACTATGTAGCAATTTATTACGTAGCAAATAGTGAACTCCATTAGGCCTACACTGTAAAATGTTTAAAGGGTAATAAAGATTCTTATTCTTATTATTCCTTTAAATATTCTAGTCGATTCTACAGTGTCTTTATTAGTTTTTAATTGGTCAGATGTTTTATTAAAAGTTGATGAAGGATTTGATGTTTTGTTATTAATCTCTTGGAAGTAAGGATATTTTTAAGGAGATTCATTTCTTTTGCAAAAGCCACCAATCCCCTTAAATTTTTGGCAATACAATTTTATGTTGATGTCCATCCAAGAACAGTTTTTTTTTATATGTCAAAACCTGCCTACTACGAAGAGTCTAAAAAACCCCGCTCCCCTATTTATATAAGTTTTAATTTCAATTTGAGCTTTAGTCAACCTCTGTAAAATATTTTTCCTGTGAATAAAAAACTGTAATTTTAAATTTGACAAGCATTAATTTGTTCCTTTAGCTGTATAAGTTATTGATAACTTATATCAACTGTGTGATAACTGAATTAATTTCAATTGAATAGTTGTCAGCCAAGCACTTGAAAAATGAGAAGGGATATTCATACCCTCCCCATTAAAATAATTACTATGAGCTAAACATTGCAAAAGACCATGACACATTCCTCATCAAAACCTCTTGGTCAAAGTAAGAAACAACTGATTTAAATAAGGATGATATACAGGGTGAGTTTTAATTGTCCCCCCCCCCAACTTTTTTCTACATTTTTTCAAATATCAATCCCAGACCACTTCCAAACATTGTTGGATAGTAAGTACTTCATTTTGACAAGGTGGTCATTTCCGGCAGCCATCTTGGATCCGCCATATTGGATGCAAAATATTTTTTTCAAATGTAAAGGTGGGGTTGTGACCCATTATTTCGAACTAGATTTTTACCCTCATTACAATGCCACAAACCGTTTTTAAAAATCTTGATCCATTCCAAAGTTATGAGGCCTTTTTAAAACTTTATTTTTAGCCCATTTTAACATTGTGCATTTACAAACTAAGACCATAATCTCAAAATGGTGGTAGATAAAGATAAGTATACACTACCAGTCATTGTCGACCTATTTTCACTTGGTTATGACAGATGTATTTTTTTCGTCCGCCATCTTGGATCCGCCATTTTGAAATGTGATAAATTATTTTAAATATGAAGGGGGTGTTGTGACCCATCATTTCGAACTACTTTTTCGAACTCAATGCCGCAATCCATTTTTTGTTATTAAGTTTTATTTATGAGCTGTTGCATTTCTTTTGTTAAAAATGTCAATATTTTAAAATCAAAATATGAAAATGAAAAACGGATCATGGAATTGAGTTCAGCTTAAAAAAGTAGTTCGAAATGATGGGTCACAATACCCCCTTCATATTTAAAATAATTTATCACATTTCAAAACGGCGGATCCAAGATGGCGGACGAAAAAAATACATCTGTCATAACCAATTGAAAGATTGGTCACAATATAAAAATCCTTCAATTACTCCATCAATCCTTCCAGGTATAAAGCTTCATCACAAACAAAGCCAGATAGGTGATTCAATCACGTTAGTAGTAAATAAATAATCTTTTATTCAATATTATTCATACCTAAATTAATTGCTTGAAGCGTTTTGGTAGAAATACAATCTATTAGGTTTTAAGACAAGGTACAAAATAAAAGTGTAGCGTAGAAGGCGTCACAATTGATGTGCTGTGTTCGTATTACTGCTGCACCAAGATCTCGTATTCTGGGTATGCAAGTTCCTGGCCACCGTAGGGAATGTAGCACACTGAATGGCTCGGTTGGACCTGTCATCAAGTTTATATTAGAAAGAGTGTATATTTTAATCTATTTTAAATTTAAACGTCTACAGGAGAAATTTGATCAAGAAACTGGCTGGATTTCTTACTAAACATTATTATTCACGGAGTTGTGAGAGTTTATATGACAAGGGGTTGAAATAGTTGAAACATGTAGTTGTGGAAGTTAAAGTTTGATAGTAATAAAGGTTAGAAACCTGTTGATGATTCAACAATAGAGACACAATTGTCTTTGATCATTGGGATTTTAATGAATGTTTGTGGCTAAAGAACACGCCAATAACAACAAGTAACTAAGGTGTCATTTAATTCATTCGACACTTATCTAACCTAAAAAATACACAACCTGGTATGTTAACAAAAAAAACTAATTTAATCTCTTACATGGAAGTATGAAGTTAATCATCTATACGTGTGATTTTTTTAATTGAGGAAAGGTAGATCTAACAATATTAGATTTAGATTATTTATATGACTCCTTACACAAGGTGTGTATTTTAATACGAGAATGAGTGTTGAACGGATGTGACAGCTTTGTTACTGACTTAAAATCAGCTGTTTTTTACCCAAGCCCATTTTTATTAAACGCCTAATGACCAAGGACAGCTGGGTTCAGATTCAAACCATTAAAAGGATTTAGACTTTTCTTAAGATCAATCTGATGATTTTTGATCACTAGGAGCCCAGTTTGAGTTTCTATATCCACTCTTCTGTCCAGCCATAGAGCTATAAAAGTTGATGCCAAAGAGGTATAAATTTAACACACAAAAAAAGTATGACAGTTGACAATACCTTGCCGACTGTGGTAGAGCCCTCGTGTTGTGCGCGGCCGATGTACAATGTCTCTCCCGTTTCACTGGTTCCTCCCACCACAGCGTTGGGGGGAATCTGTCCTTCCACTGATGGAACCCACTGTAGGTTACTGCCTGTCAGAGCCTGCAGGAGTAAGCACAACATGTATAAGATAATCCAATTAGAAAGGTTGCAAAGTAGAAGTAATGTGCATTATAAATTACTTACTACAGTCGGGACCACGAAAGTTTGCAGTTGGCGGCAGCCAAATCACAAGACAAGGCTAGTGAAACGTTGCCTTATCGCCTGTTGACGACACTAATTAAAATACTAAACAACATTTTCAAATCAGCTGGTATTATTAGATTTGGCAACACCGCACTGTCCTCATTGGCTCATTCGAAGTCACGTGTTAAATAGGCTCCTCCCTCAACTGCAAACTTTCGTGGACCCGACTTTAGCTATGTTTTTGTGTATACAAATTTTTTTGAGACTGACATTGAACAAGCAAAGTGAGACTCATGTCACAAGCAGCTTTACTGATTTTAGCCATTCTGATCAAATGTGTCATAGTTGTTAAATTGTTTGTAATGTTAGGAATAACTGTCTTGATCTCATCCTTCAGTTTGGAATCAAATTAGGCTTGTTTCCTTAGATCTGATGCTTTAAGTGACCTCAAAGGAATAATCCAGTGGTCCAGTGGTCATGTGATCTAGCTGCCCAATGTTGATGATACTAATACATCAAAATCAAGAGATTAACCAAACACTTGAGAAACTTGGGTGCACCAATTGCAGGGTTTCTCAAGTTGTGACCCCATCTTGTTGAAACCATAAGCCATCCAAGCCAATAATACGGTATTACACAATTTTCTAACTGCTGCAAAAAAATAAATGCCTATCATTTTACTATAACGTTCTTTATTGATGTTCTTTAAACTGCATGGTCACAAGCATGAAAAAAAGAAAAAGCCAATTGTACAAAATTTCTCCACACAATTTTTTAAGCAGTTAAAACACTTTCTCAGATCAACTAACGCCCCATAATGGCAAAATGAAACAATGACGACAATAACAAAACGTTAGCCGTTTATCTTGCATCAAAAATGAGTTCTACCCACTTAAACCGTCCCCTCCAACAGTATTTATTAACTGAAATAGAAGAATGATAGATTTTTTTATTGTTTGTTTTAAAGATGTTTGTGTGAATTACTTAGTGAGAACTGACCCTTGTGTATTTTGGCATATCCAGTTTGTGTTTTGAATTATGATATAACTTGACTGCTTGACTACCAACAGGCATGTAGTAGGGAACCTCAGATGTGCCAAAAAGGAACATGAAACAATTATTCAACTATATAGTATGTATTAGATATGTGAGCTTTTTTGAAATTATATTTTTTAAACGACACTGTCTTCACTCACCTCATAGTCAGGTTTGCCGTGTTCCGCTCCACCCCAGGCTATATAGCAGACACCGTGGGAGCTGACGATCTTGCCGGGAATCACGCCCCCTTCGTGTTCCGCTCTGCCTACGTAGAGGTTCTCGTTGTCATAGCCGCCGAGAACACTATTGGCCGGCACTACTCCAGCCTGGCCCGGCACCCATGCCACCTCTGCGCTGGCACTTGGCACATCAGGGGTATCTAACACAACGTTCCGTAGAGGCTCATCATCATAGTTCTCATCTGGACAGCAAACAGCAACATGCAGCGTAAGCAACGTATCCAGCAACCAGATGCAACGGTTACAGTTAGGTCATGCCCCATGGTTTGTGAGTGGAAACATGAGTTGAATGTTTGACTACTAAGATTATTTGTTCAGGTTAAAATTTTAAAATCATAGAGAAATTGTGTTTAGTGTTAGGTTAGAACAAGACACAATCTAAGACAATGTTTAAGTAGATTGAAGGAATTTTAATGGGTTTGTGTATTTTGTTACATATACCAATTATTTAGTGGTAGTCAAATAATGGAAAAAGCCCATGTTTAAACTATTTTCTGTTTCATTGTGGTGCAAGCTAATTAAGATGATCGAGATAAGTGGTTGTTTGGATGCAGATTTTTTTTAATACTGGTACAGTACTTTGCAACAATTTATCTTACTTGGACTTAGAATTTGTTATACTCTGTAGAGTAAAACTTTGAAGATCACTAAATCACTGGGCAGTAATGCACTTTTTGTTAGCTATTTAAATGTGAAATTGAATGCAAGATCTGTATATAGATATGATTGACTGATCTGTATAGTGAATAGTGTAGGATGGCTACAACATAGACATTTTAAATGTTATAGATAGGTTATGTCTCCACTCACCACTAAATATTTTTTTATCAAATCCTTAAACAAAGGATACACCCATTCTGAAACTATGTTGCCCATTGATTGCAAGCTAAGTTAGTCTTGTTTTAATGATAAAAGTTAATATAATTGTATGCTGCCCACTCTA